CTTGGATGTTTCAGGTTTATGACTGGAGCTTGTTATGTGTCCATCTTACTTTAGGGGAAAGAGGAGGGGTCATCAGCATACTTTAAATGTTGGGAACGGTTTAAGCAGTGTGTGTTTTGTTGGGTGTTGGAATGTCACAATGCCTATTTTGAAAAATTCTTACTAATGACACATGTGACACTGGAAGATTTCCTAGTTGCAGTGTTGAGCTCATGCACAAATATGCTGCTGACATCCATGGGACTATTTGAGGGATCGCTCATGAGCATGACTCTAAGAGTCAGTCTGAGCTGTATTAAATCTTACCTCTTTTGGAGGGTATACTTCCCTATTTGTTGTGAGTGCTGAAGAGATGTGTGCTGTTTGTTTAGGCATTTTTATGTGTCACTCTCTACTCTTGTCCCGAGCTTTCCGATAGTGTTTGCTGTGCAACACAGCCATGGATGCTGGTAATTTTTAAGGTCTGAAGTGTAATTATTTATTATCATTCATAAACAATAAATAAAATGTCTTTGGTGTTTTAATAAGGTGCGCTAGAGGTAATATATAATCCGGGTCTTCACTCTTGAACGTGTAATCCAGTTTAGTTTGAGAACTCTGGGTATTTTAGTAGGTAAAACACTGCAGGCGCAGAAACATAAGATTGCTGTCGGGGACAGTAGAAAGGTAATAAAGACTGCTTGAGCTTTGTTTGTGTTTTATTTAAATCAAAGCATGACAATTTGTGAAAGAGGGTTACTGTTTGGCAGTAATAAAATCCTTTTGTAATAAATAAGATTGTTCATGTGTAAGGTGGTAAACTTGCTTTTCCTTTAAAAATACGTGTCATTGGTGTTTTGCAAAGAAACATCAAAATCTTATGAAAGATAAAAAAATCACTAGTTAGGATATAAAAGAGGCAGAAATACTCCTTCAGCAAAGGTCTGCGCCGTGGATATCCAAACAACTAGAAACAGGTGACTTATTACAGGTGTTTGAGTCCATATACTCTTAAAGTGTGTGTTTTCAGTGGTGGTAACTTAAGAGTGTACCCCGTTGCTTCTACTGCAGGTCATCCCTTGATTTCATTACTGTCTGTGGGCAATTTGTAATCACTCTGGACTGTAAGCCATCTGGAATGTTGGTCTCCAAAGAGCAGAGTGTGCAGTGGGGCTTGGAAGTCTTCACTGGCTGAATCGATTGGCTTAGTTTTTAAATCGAGATGACCTACCTTTCTGGAAAAACCCCTTTGGTCAGACAGAAATCATTTGGCTTATGCAGGCTCTGTGTTATGCAGGAGGTCAGGCTTCATGTGGTCACAATCCCTCCTAGCAAAAAACTGTTGGCAAATTGGTTGCTAATGTAAGGATACAAGTACAGAACATCATCACTTAATGCATGCATACAGACTCCTGAACTGTACACTTTGTGCAATGGTTATAGTCTTCTCCAGCTTACGACTAAACATGAGGCACAGTGGTCAGATAAATAAAACTTAGTAGGATTTCTTCCTTCAGCATAAATTGCATCAGATAACTGATCCCCTTTCCAGTAATACCCTCTTGTGCATTGTATGTCCTTCCAGTAACATGATGCAAGAGCAATTGCCCAGGCCCCCCCACCAGTTGTGGCTTTGTATTCCCTGGTTTCAGATATTACATTTCACTGCGTCTACTCTGCTAATGCCTATATTGTACAGAAAAGCAAGCAAGCTGTTCAATATTTTCTGCTTTAGAATACATGTTTGCAAAAGAGGAAGCTGATTTCATTTTGTTTGATACAACTTTTTTGAATGAAGGCATTATCCCTCCCTTTTCCCCTCCTGCCCTCATATATAGGTATGGTTGCCCTAGATGTTTGGGCCTGTTCCTCGATCTAAGATTACTTGTGCTTGAGCCCTTTCCGAATGGGGGCTGTCATCAGTTAGCCAGATGCTAATCCTAACAAACTCTTAACACATGCTTTAAACCTTTGCTCATGAAGGCTGGTTGCTTGAACAAGGACTTGCAGATTTAGTATTCTTGCATTGGGAATTTCTTCCCTTAATTCACTATGTAGCCAGAAACCTGATGAAATAATGTGAAAAAAATTTGCAATCAGTGTAGTCACATGATTTGATGCCTGGATAATTCACTGGCTCCTGCCCAAGGACCAGTCTTATCTAAGGAATATGATTCTCTGTTGCCTGTTCTGTTTCTATAGAAACTTTTGGTAACTTATATTTTAATCATGTCTCAAAAGGTACTTGCTATATCAACAATTAATGAACAGTATTCAAATACATTGGGGTGAGTTTTCTGGGGGTGTGGGATTTTTTTAAAATTTTATGATCGCTTAATGTAGAAACTCCTCAGAGATTATCAGTCTGAACTGCTGTGTTTTCATTCTGGTTGCATCACGTGTCTGAATTTAAAAAAAAAAAAAAAAAAAGCCTAACCCTGCCCCAGAACATGAACACTGACCTACAGTGCAAAATGGAACAGTTCATGAAGGACAGCGGTGGGGGTGGTTGCTGCATGACTGCAAGAGCAAATATTGATTGGCTTAATAAGCAAACTATTTTTTAATATTGCATGTTTCATCTGTCAAAACAGCTATTTCATTATATAAGTAAAATCTTACTGATAAACTGTCTGCTGCCATTAACTTGGTAAACTAGACTTTGAATTTCCATGGGGTCTTCTGCAGTCCTGTGAATTTTCTTTCTTTAACCTCACTGCATGGATACTGCTACAGCTCATTTCCATTGCTGAAAAGGCACTGGGCAACTCCTTACTGTGCCAGTGGAAAGTATTCTTTTTCTTTACCTACTTCCCATCTGTTGTTTCGGTGCAGGATAGTCTCTTTTTTTTTTTTTTAATAGTTTTCTCCACATTTCTCAGATACACTGCTCTGTCTTACATTGTTTGGTGGGGCAGGGGGATGTTCCTCTCCTATCTCCAGTATCTCAGGGAGGAGGAGGTAGGATGGGAAGCTCCTTTTCACTTGCTGTTGCTGCACAGGTCAGTAGGTTTGTTCTGGCTCTCTGATCTCAGCTGTGTATCCTGGTTTTTACAGCTCCAGTGCTGCCTAGAACTGTGGCAGAATTGGTTGATAGGGCCACCCACACACCAACAGATCTGGAAGTACAGCAGAAGAAAGAAACAAGCATATTTTTAAAGATTACAGAAACTTAACGGTGTATCTGTAGCTCAGAGAAGTTTACATTTGGCCAGCATACAACTTTATTTAGATATTACATCACGCCTAGGGCATACAGAGTACTGTCAGTAGACACGTGAAGCTGCAGAACGCAAAGAATCTTTGGCATAAGCCCTGCTACATGTTTGCAGCAAGCCCAGATGATGAAGGCAGCGTGTGGCTTGGTCTGCACTCCAGTTGAGCAACGCACGAGCTCACTAGCAGCCTTCAGCATTTGAGGATCTTGGCCCACGGTTGCAGTGAAATATGCACACACGCATCTGGACCAGGGCCGTGCTGGTTTTGTGAAGCTAGCATGGAGAGTATACATAACAGAAAGAAATGTTTAAGGCAGCATTATAACCTCCTTCAGTCTGCTGAGTTTGCAAGTGTCTAGGAGGGCTGGGGGAGGCAGCTTGTTGGTGCACAGCAGTACTCAAAATGCATGGGGTAAGGGAGTAGGATGGCAATAGGAACAACTAAAGCTAGTTAGACTAATGAATGTTGGGATGTTTAATATTTTGTGTTCATATCCTATGATCAGCAGACAGCTCTCTAATGCTGTTGTTAATGAATGACCTGCTGTTGTGTCCGGACTTGTTTCTTGTGTATTTCAGAATTCTTGGATTAAAAAGTGGTGGCTATTAATGCATTGGGCAGGAAGAGTTTACATTTGATCTGGTCTGTGAAGATCTGTATAAAATAAAATACAAATTAAAATCATAGAATGGAGAAATACAAAATCACTGATAGGTGGGGTATTTCCAAATACCAGTTTCAGTTCGCATTTAAAAGGTCTACTAAGATAGAAAATGCGTAGTGCTTTTACATCTTTGTTGCAAAAAGCAAATCTGAAAGAAGAATGACGAGGGAAGCAGACTTCTGTCAGTTATGGCAGTGCAGAAAGGGGAACTAATTAAACTGTGACAGTGAAAGGTGGAAACAGCCACTTGAAATGAGAAGAGGACTTTAGCAGGGGTGTTTTAGAATGGCGTTTTTTTTGGTGCATGCCATTTATTTTAGCTGGTTTAAAAAAAAAAAAGCAAACCCACAACAAACCCCACATAATTTCTGCCCCAATAAATATTTGTAGGAGAAACAAAAAAATCCTTAAAAGTTCATCCATCTGTCTTCAGTATGTGAATTTGCTGTGAACTTGAACATGAGAATTTAAATCTGACATCTCTGCAGGGGAGATGAAAATTCTTTATGGAGGTGAAAAGGGGGAAAAATTTTACATCCTTTAAAAATAAATAGGGCATATTGTGGGAGAGGGTTTAGGGACTTGGACTTTTGGTTTCTGTGTAATTTCTTACTAAAATATGATGTAGAATTTGTGGAAATATGGTTAGTAATTATTGGTAGCATTTGGCATGTAACTGTTGATGGCCCCCTCAGTAGCAAAGAATTCTGAAAGCTGCTTGGGGAAAACAGTATGGCATTGTCTTTCATCAGTATCCTTTCAGCTGAAAAGCAGCTTGACTGTTAGGCATTTTGATCCGTTCTACCCTGAGGAATCAGACCACTAAGTAGTAGCATAACTATTTTTCCTGGACATCTTAGTTTTTCCTAGCTGACATTTGAGTTTTGAACCCTTCTAGGGTGTATTGTCTAGGGTTTTTTTTGGTGTTGCGGTGTTTTGGTAGAGTTTTTTTTCATACCACGTGAACCAGCAAGTGTGGGATGAATACGTAG